CGAAAATGCCTTCCGAACCATTGGGTGTTCGAGCAAGTGTTGTTGGAAGCCGTTTCGTCACACTTATATGGGATCCTCCTGTGCAGAGGCATGGTGCTGTGCTGGCCTATCATATTTTCTACAAGGAGCAAGATTCTTCAAGGTTGGTTATTGTTTTATTACATTTAGCAGAACATTATTGTATGATAGAACATCAGTTCTTTTGGTTTGTTTCACGATCACAGACCGACTGCCCTGTTGTTATCAGAATCTCCTGTCGGAAATTGTATTGAGCGGTGCACTTGCCTTAGTTATCTAGCGCATTAATTGTTCCGTTTCGGCGCTATGGGAACGAAATTAGGCCAGAAATGCTGCATAAATTCAGTACAGGATTTCATTTACCCGCACAAGTCCTGCTAAAATAAATAGTTGAACGTCCTAAGACAAACTGCTGTGAAGAGCGGATTTGTTTTGTTCAGAGTTTCGGGAAAAGTGAAAGCTCAGTGTCTAAGGTTTCACAGTTGATTCTGTCAGGGAATCATGTTTTCGTAAAGTATTTTGACTGCCTATTTGCTTCGAGCGTATTCTTTGTTGAAGCCGCAAAAAGTTAAATTTGTAGATTGATGAGAAAATGACTTTCTCAAACAATTTTTTAAGAATTTGTCAGTGCATGTAAAGCAAAAGTGAATTTAGGGAGCGAATGCTGAATTCATCGACGACATCTTTGACAGTAACACCGCTCCAGCCAAACACCACATATTTCTTCCGTTTGGTTGCAGAAAATGAAGCCGGCATGGGCAAATCCACTGCGCACGTCCTCATCACAACAACACAGGAAAAGGTTATTTTCTAGGGATTTCGCTGTTTAATTTCTCAGCTGGAACAATTAGTTGGTAGGCGTCGTGAATTGTTTCATTAATCTGGAATTTCCGTACACCGGTTGCCTTTGTTGATTTGCGCATTTGCAATTAAGACGTGTTTGAATGATATGAAATAAAATGCGAAGCAGAAAAAAAGTGCTTCAGGGAATATACATGAAATTAATTCGAAAACTACCATTTTTTGACTCCGGGATTTTTTTTTATGATGATTAAAAATATGCGAATCGAAATATGCAGTCATTCGATGCCATATCACCCTACCCGCATTTATCTCAGAATCGAAATGCGTTAACTTTTGGTCTCATTAGAATTGTC